CTCTATTAATTCATTTAGCCACTGGTGAAATTTATGTCTGCACAGAGTAGTCAACAGCGTAGAAGTATTTTATCAGCACTGTCTCGGCGTGATTAGTTTCACCTTAACAAGCTTAGTCATATTTGTAGAGGAAACCCATAGAATACGACCTACAGTAGGTTAGCTTCATCATTCTAAGACAACATAGGATATAAGCATGTAAAATGGTGGTCAATTTTAGCCCGTGTAATTCAAAAAAATGAGTAGGACTAAATGCCGAAAAATTAATCTGTTGAATTATGACTTGTTAAGTATGCAGACGTGAATTACCTACTTATGTAGTGCCCTTCATCTCACAGACATCAAGAGAGACTTCATTTATATTCATTCTGTTGACATGAATGATCCAGATATGTTTCAGAAGGCATGTAGTTTGAATTGTTTATAGTTAACAAATGGAATTCTTTAACAACACTGATTTCACTGTTCAGCCTGCTAGGAATAAGTCAAGATCCAGACTGATATCCAGTTATAATTTTCTATAGTTGATTTGTAAGGGTTAGTTTAGTTTTTTTACGAGTTGATCATGGATTGATATCAGTTAGAGAGCCATTGAAAACCAGGGAGTACTGGACAGCTGTTTCATCCTAGTTTGGGAATGGAATATGGGGTTGCCTTGTAACCCGAAGGTCCTGGGTTCGAACCCCAGTGGGTGCGTACTGCCAATGATTCCCAAACTAGGATGAAACAGCTGTCCAGTACTCCCTGGTTTTCAATGGTTCTCTGACTGATATTAATCCTTGATCAACTCGTAAAAATCAGTTATAATTTTCTTTTAACATGTTAACGAGATTTGTAGGCAAATTTAATTTCTTTTTAAAACATTATTGTGAACAGAAAGTGGATTCACACTGGCCAGTTCTCAGAAACACCAACTAATCCGGTTTTATTTTTACTTACATACACAATTTATGAATATGTGAACTGAACTTGAACTCTTAGTTGATGAATAGGTGTTTTGTCATCTAGATTAATCTGTTCTATTTCTAGAATTGTCAGACAGTATATATAACATATTGTCCGGCCATTCTAATATATTAGGAATAAATACTTACACATTCTAGTTTAATGATTGAACGGCTTGATGGCTTATGCTATGCCGGAACACCTGCAGTTTTGTAAACTTATACACCTGAACATTTGGTATGTCTGTGTAATATATAGAAGTACCTATAATCCTGCGATATACTCTCAGGGTTCATCCCTTTATTTTTGCTACGAAATAATTACGAAATAGTGTAATACTGTTGGTGCATACTAATTTCTAATTCCTTCACTTTTTTCGTCCACTACAGTCTACGGACTTTTATTTAACTCAAGTTTGAGGCACTTTTGCTCCTCGCCATGTTCGCAGCCTACCAGTATAAGTCTGTTTGGGACTATCAGTTCAGATGAAGCTACTAAGTGTCTTTATGAAATATATTGTGAATAGTCAGTTTAATTCATGATGTAACTCCTCGAGTTGGTGATACCAGTGGTGTATCATCCTTTTTAGTACGTGTAGCACTCTGTATGTTTCAAAATGTATGCGTTATTGTTTAATGGATCATCATTTGAACACACTGTGTCGGTCATTATCGTATCAAGGCTGTCACACAGCTTCCAATAGTCAATTTCATGGATCTACAACCACCCGTCCTCTTGCCTGCAATTATAACTGAAATTTTTCATTCTGCGGTATAGATTCAGGAACATGACAGCTTATGAACTAGTTTAATAAGTGGATACAATGGTATTTATGACGACATGTTACTTGAAGTTTACAGGACAAAATATGCAGACGAAACGCAAAAGAAATCATGATATATCGTAACAGTCATATTAATGGAAATTTTACAATGAATGGCTTTATGAATTGAGTGAAAGGCTATGTAACTTGTAGAGAAATATCACTATGTAATGATACTGTACATCGACATCAGATGATTGGATGTAATCGGTAGGAAGCCTTGGACCTAAGTTTCATGCATGTTGGTACTCGTCAGCAAGGTGTGTCTGAAACCTTGAAGGAACTCATGTCTCTTATGAGATTCGAAACCTTGTCACCCAGCGCTGTATTCAGAGCAGTTACCAATGAGCCGTTCGGGCTCGCGAATGACCTCCTGTAGGACTGTATTGGATATTTTTGATTGAACACTAGTTAGTAATTAGTGTAATGTGTCTAGTCGTTTTCTTTTTGGTGCAGACTGTATACTAAATACAATAAACGAACTAAACTCATTTATAGAGAAGGATTCTTCTACGCTAGCTTTGTGACCGGTTTGCACCAGATGGTCTATTATCGAGTTGTTAATAGTTTTAACTACACCTTTACTTAGCCATAGTGGGAGATGTTCTCGAGCACGAAAAATCAAGTCCCTAGAGCAACGGCCAATATATCTGGCTCCACAAGCGCAGTTGAACTGATAAATACAATTTGAAGTGGCTAGTCTAGGAACTTCATCTTTCAGTCGAGGTAGCACCATCGGTCGTGTAGAGAATAATACGTGTAGTTCGCCAGCATTAAAAGTTCTTTGAACTGATTTTCTTAATTTCTTCGTAATTATCTCGCTTGGTATATCGCCCATGAATTGTAGTCGTATGTATAAAGGCTTCTTGTTTACAGATAGTGGGCAGTCCTTTTCGGCTTTCTTTGTCATATGTTTCTTGATAAATTTGTCAGGATAACCATTTTCGATTAAAGTATCATATACCATGCTTAATTCATCTTTAATTACTTCTTCAGAGCATATAGCTCTAACTCTGTGGCTATGGGTCTTCACTAAATTTCTTTTGTAATTGATAGGAACGAAGCTGTGACAATGTGTATATTGTCCTGTCCAAGTGCTTTTTCTATGCAAATTTCTTTTTATGCTACCGTCTGGTTTTCTTGTAAGTAGGACATCCAGGAAGGCAATCCTCTTCGCATGTGAATTTCATAGCCGAATGTACTTCATTGAATTCAGTAATTATTGTACTCTTATCAGAACCATTATCACAAAGAATAAAGGTATCATCCATATATCAGCAACAAAATGAGAGCTTACTGATAAGGTTGTTCAGAGGTCCATTTTCTAGATTACTTAGAAAGAAATCAGCCAGAATGGGACCCAATGGGGAGCCCATCGCCACCCCTTCCACTTGCCTGAAAAGTGTGCCATCAAATTTGAAGTTTACATTCATGGTAAATCTTAATATCAATTCTTCTAGGATTTCAATATGGATTCCAATGTTTATCGACTGCTTGTCCACTTGTCCACATACATAATTAACTGTTTCTATTAGAAGTACATTTGTGAATAACGATGTTATGTCCAGAGATATCATGGTTTTGTCCTTGATATTAATATCTTTTATTTTGTCTACGAATTCAAATACATCTTTGACGCTATATTTCACTATGTTCTCATGCAATGTTTTGAGAATATTTACTAACCATCTAGTTAGAGCATGATAGGGTGAATTTTGCATATCAAGTATTGGTCTTAACAGTACCCCTGGTTTATGCACTTTAGGTAGGTCATACGTGCCCGTTGGTCTGATTTCTTCATATAAACTTTCAGAAATTATCTGCTCCTCCCTTAGTTTCTTCAAACGTCTGGTTAATTCATTCTCTATTTTGTTATTGAAATCTTTCTTCTCCTCAAGTTTTTGAAACTTCTGTATGTCCTTCAATCAAGAAGGACTACTCCTGACCCTTTATCCGGCTTTGTGATTATCAGTCTCTCATCATTTATCAGTCTTTTTAGTTCTTCTCTGTGCTCCTTTGTCAAGAAACTTTTACTGTCGCATTTGAGGTTTTTGTACTGATAACAACAATTCACTAGACTGGATTTGAAGCGTTCTAGTTCCAAGGTGGATGATGGAGCTAGATCCCTTGTTTGACTAAATAGGTTTTCAAATTCAATATCAGTATCCAAGTGATTAACTCGTTTCGGTCTATCACAAAATCGAAGGCCAAGTGAAAGTACTTCAAGTTGCACCTTATTTAATTCAACACTACCATAATTGTAGACGTACTTTTTAAGATCTGCTGGAAATTTACCAGCCTCTGGCTTCCTTTCAAGTCCTTTCATGAGCTCTATCTGCTTCTTCTGTGCTCTTCGTTCACTAACTTGGGTAACGTATTCCATGGAAGGCGTCCGAAGATCTTCTGGCAGTTCATCTACCGCATATTGCCTGCGAGCGATATTCATTTCATTCTCTTGAATGAATGTAGATGAAGAGTCTGTTCGGTTTAGTGTATATCGTTTCAGCGTCTTCCTATTGGGATGAACTCTGCTTCGACGTAGAGACTTGTAATAAACTTTAGGATAGTGATTTAACTCGATGCAATTGTTAATGAAGTCCAATGTAGCTTTTGTTTCATTGAGTTTAGAGTTATACTTCAGGTACTCATTGAGAACCTTCAACGCTACAGGCGGCTGACAACATTTTAACTGATTAAAAATGCCCATTAAAATTTTCAAAAGAATGGATACGGAACAAAGAGTACTCTTTTCGACAAATTCATCATCAGGTTCTACAATTATATATACATTATAATGAATGAATGAATTAGTCTTATGAACGATATATCAGACCATCTGGTGCAAACCGGTCACAAAGCCAGCGTAGAAGAATCCTTCTCTATAATATACTGGGTGCCTAACAAACTACCAGAATCGTCGAAGCACCGCATGCTCTAAACTCATTTATTATGTCATTCAGACCTATCTGGATTGGGTTGCCCCTGGCCATATGAGCAGCCCCCTTCTGTCTGAGTAGTTTGTGACTAAACGTACACCTTTGTAATATATATTCTACCAGTCTATACCTTTTATTTCCCTCTATAGAAAGCGGCTAAGTAGACAAGTAGTTCAATAACAGAGATCGATAATCTCAGATTTAAATTTTTCCATCCTCTTAATAATTCTAAAATAAATTATGCACACCTGCAGAAATTAGTGAATAATGCAAATGTATCATGGTTAGACGATAAGATGGTCTACTTTTTCAACATAATTCGTATTCCGGAATCTGATTCTAATTTATTGAGTAGAATAACTGAATTATTAGGCAATGAAAAGTGTTCAAATGTCCTGATACAATATGGTGCAAATAATCAGCTGAATTCAATATGTGAATGGATCCCTAGAATCGGTGGTATCTGTGGTGCTTTAGCACTGATAGCGTGTGCCTATGGAACACTCGGTAAATGAGTAAAACGCTGTTATACACATTTAACTACTCATGAGTAATAATGTGATTTTCACGAATTATTTTGTGCATTAGAGGAAGTAAGCCAAAAATCAACTTGATAGAAATGTCGATGGTTTTAAACTTTTTTGCATCAATTCCCATTTGGTATGCGAAACATTTCATTCGGTAAGGAAGAATATTTCTGTTGAGTAATTGAGACTGGATTGTATGGATGGACTATCAGCTTATATACTTGACTATACGTCTACAGACCACTGAGAGAAATTATGCAATACTTTGTTTATTCATGCCATCTCCTTCACCACCGGGGTTTAAATTACCATTCATGAAATTCGGATTTAAAACATTTCACTAAAGGGAAGTTTTTGGACATAAATGTTGAGGTGAGCCTGCATTGCCGAAATTTACTCAGAGTAACAAGATACGGTTACCTAGTGAGTTCTTCTGGTGACAGTTTCACTTGGTAAAAACGTTTTTCGTAATTATCAACTTTAGTTGGAAGAAAATTATAAGCCTGATAGATAACTGAATTGAAATCATCTCCAACTTCTGCTTAGTGGTAGAATGTCTAACGACTTACGCAAAATACTACTCTAGGGGTTGACGGTATCTACGTTTAATTGTCATTATTTTAATTTATGCGGCCCGAAATATTAATCGGGTTTGAAAGTAATTAATTTCATGGATTCAGTAGTCTAGGAGATTTTTAATCACTTGTAAGATTCTAAAGCTAGTCTATATGCTGACTGGTTGTCAAGGGGTTGCTAGGAGATTATGGAGTCTGCTCTAGCGCCATCACGAGTAACTTTAGAAGATAAGTATAACATGATAACTAGACAAATAAACCTGAGACTTTAAATGAATGGATTCTAGTTCGTTTTGCCACATTTTGCAAAAATCGCATGAAAGGAAAGAATAAAATGACACTACAAGCGTCGGACATGAGTGTACGCAAAAATGTGAAATTAAACTATAGCGGTCACTACCAATAGCCTTCTAAATAATTTTGAAGAACCAGTCATAGTCAATCGACTTTAGGACAGCTAAATTTACAACTTGACCGTATTGTCATATATAAGACAGCTTTAATTCTCCTTAAGTGTTGTAATAAACACCCTCAATTAACCATAATAGATAATTTTATATCTGGACAAAAGCTGGGAAAGCAGATGAAGGGTAAACTATAGACAGATTACATGCAATGGCAGGTATGGTGATGGGATTGATTCAGGGACATTTTAAAGGTTCTTTGGTCGAGTTATTGGTGGTGCCTGCTATAGTTTAACTTCTCCGAAAGACGGCCTAGATGAGGCAGACATCATGGGTTCTAAGATGATAAAAAGTTATAGAACTAATTCATTGTAAATATTTGCAATAGCCATTGAGTGTTCCCAGTTGGTGATTGCTAACCATGCTACGGCAAGTTTAAACTTACCCATTTGACTAGGACAGTAACAATCAAACCGTATTAGTGATATGTGTTTTGTTAGTTGTTCGATTCGGCTTGAGACACTGACAATTATTCTGAAATTTTATAACTGGCAGCTTACATTTCGGCTTTATTAAGTGCAATCGGTGGTAAATACTTTAAAGTTATTAAACTGTTTTATAATTAAACTCGGTGGTAATTTCTGCACTATGTACTAACGGGGACTCATAAACAGAATGAGGCAAGAATAACTGGGAATGTAGTGGCAACCGATCAGGTAGACCGTATATAAATATATATATATATATATATATATATAAATGTCCTATATGTCCACAGTACTTTGTGGTCGCCATCATATAAAAACGAACAACCAGTGGAATTAAAATGATGAATGAAGCCATCCAACCGTCTTCTCAGCCTCTGTCCGGTCTGTCTCCATTATCTTCGGAATATTTCTTGAGCAACAGATTCTTGAGTGATTCATTCCCAGATTTTCTTGTTGCTAATCATTTCTGGCCACTTGATCTTCAATATGGAGCGAAGGCAGCTGTTGATAAAAATCTGCAGCAGGCTGTTGGAGATGTTTCTCGTGATCTGCCAAGTTTCTCACTCATATGGAAGGACTGGCTTGACACTGATGGGGGAAAATCTAAATTTGTTCTTTAGGCCAAATGCAGAAGATTTCCAAATCGACTTGAGAGTGGTGGAGGCGTACCTGACCTTTCCGACTCTGTCATCTTCACCGATTCCACTTGTGGTTGAAGGGATGCCTCCTAGATAAGTGAAGGAAGTAACCTCCTCCAAATCTCTCCCTTCGGTGGTTATTATTTCTGGTTGTTGTTGCTCTTGGTGATGATTGGTTATTTTCATCACCTCCGTCTTCCCGATGTTCACATGCAGTCCTGTCTTCGCTGTCTACTAGCCTCTTCTCCCAGTTTGTTGCTTTTCGCCTGTATGCAAGTCTCCGAGTTTGTGTGACATCAGAAATATATCATCCGCCGACAAATCCAGATCTTCTAGATTCTTCTTACCGGTGGTTCGACGTATTCCTCTCTCCTTGCTCCCTTCGAACCATTCGACGCCTAATCCAGTCCACCACTGTGAGGAATATCATTGGTGATAGTTGTAAGGAGCCGTGTCTTACTCCTGTATTCACTTCGAATGCCCCACTGAGTTTTCTGCTGTGGACTACCTGACTAACACGTGACATTGTTATGCACTCAGTTGTTGAACGAGGTTGGTAAAGGTTTGGGTCACTACACTCCGTAGTGTTGAATTAGTTTCCAAATTACTTCTCGGCCAACGCTGTCTAGTGAAGGCCTTTTCGAAGTCGATGAAGTTGATGTAGATAGAGATTTGGTTCACATTCTATGGTTTGTTGGATGATGATGCATAGAGCTACAATTTGATCAGCACATGATTTGCTTTTCCTGAGTCCAGCTTATTCCAGTGGGTGGCGGAGTTCTGTATCCAGTGCATCTTTCATCCTCTCCAGGATGACACGACTTAGCATTTTGCTTGGCGTGGACATGATCATTATTCCACGCTATTTCTTACAGAGTGAGGCTTAAGTCGTCCTTCTCTGGTACACTGACAAGATAGCCTTTCTTCCAGTCAGTAGGTACCTTTCCTTCCCTCCAAACCCTTTGCAATAATGGCGTGAGAACATCTGACTCAGTCTCTGGATCGGTTTTCAGTGCTTCGGGGGGGGGGGTATTTCATCTGGTTCTACTGCTTTCCCACACGGCCTTCAGTAGTTTGATTACATTCCAGATTTCCGCTTTCGTTGGAGGATCAGTATCCACTGGCAGTTCTATGTATGCTGTTCGTGGTATTTTTGGACAAGTTGCAGGTGATATTCATTTCAGCAGTCTTTTGAGGTGGTCAGCCTATTCTTTGATTTGTCTCCCCTCCTTGGTAATTAGGTTCTCTGAACCACCTTCTGTTGGTTCATTCTGTATTGATCTGTTCCCGGAGAGAGACCTGGGTATCTGATATAATGCTCTCCGAGTCTCTTTTACCCGCTGCCCACTTGTTCTGCTTCACTTGTCACTATGTAGCAAGATTGTCTTCTGTCTTTCCTAACACTCTTCTTCACTCCTTTATTCAGTGAGGTGTGTATTTAACTTAGCTTCTCCTTCTCTTGTCCATCTCTGCATTGAGTCATATTCTCTTTCACCACCTTCCTCTCTTCTCTGTTCTCGTCCATTTAGCTGAGCGAGAACATCTTGACATGTGATGACTTCTCTTCCTGTATTGTCTGTTACCAGTTTGGCTTGTGTTCATATTGCGCATAAGGATTTAGATGTCACCATTTGAGAAATGGTCCATTACTGTTTGTAATTGTCCATAGAAATCTTCCTTCTTAATTTTTCAAAGTTGACTGTAGTACTGTGCGTAGCACTGGATGGTTGTAACCTCCCTTCCCTCCTTTTGAGTTGAATATAGCTGTCATTATCCTGGAGGAGTTTGGTCCCTACTGCATAAGAGGTTCGGCTGCTATTGGTGATATCATGATAGTGACTCCCTCAGTGTGCTCATGGTTGTCGTCTGGGTGACCAGAGTAGATTATTGACTCTACAGTTGACGATTTGGATAGTTCACATTCATTGCATCAGCTCTCTCAGATTCATACCATTTAAACATCGTATTTTATCATTTATTTGGCTACCTGGGCAGCCTTCTCAGCTCCTTATATTGTACGGACATTTCACGTCCCCATGCTTATTTTCGCTTTCATCAAAAAAGAGACATTGGGTGATTGACTTCGTTAAGACTTTGGTTGGCCCGCATCATTTCGTCTCTCTGATTCCAGATGAGAATAAATCTGTTTTTTATATTTTTCTTGTGCTTTGAAGTGTGTGTAGCGATTGGATAGGTTTCCTGGGGTAGAGTCGTTAACCGCGCACCTACCTCTTCTGTTTTCCCGGGCTTAGGACCAGCTAGAAGACTAGCGCACTTGTAAACTAGGAGAGGTTTTTTGTTGTTCTAAATAAATTTTGGGTATATTCAAACTACTGGAATGTATATTTCTGATTATTGTAGAAAATCGATATGAGATAAGTAAGTATAACCTTGAACAGAATTATATCCAACTTTCAACACCTTCTTCCAGTCATTATGAGAACCAAGAAGGCACCAAAGTTAACATTTAATGAGGAAGAATAGACGGAAAATGCATACGCAAATTAAAGAAAGCGTTTCGAAATTTTGTAGTTAATAGTAGACTGTGTGTTGTAGTTACTTGCATAAATATGACTAGAACACTTTGAAGAATAGATAACAGAAAGTGAGAAAGAGAACTCAGATAGGCCTACACTGGCAATTTAGATCTCAAGTTGAGAAAGTTCTATAATAATAATAACTGAACTTTATTACTATGAAAATAGTTTCGTAAGCTTTTTATCAATTTTCTGAATTGTTTTCTGCATTACTATGCAGAAATAAAAGTTGAATAAAGATAAAGATTGGTACACACGTCTTCTCACATAAACGACCTGTTTCATTATTCATAGTTAACTTTATTTCAGTTTTTCTACTTTATCTGCTTCAACACCAGAGATGCAAATTATGAGGAACTGAAAACAAATATGTCAGCATCTCATCTTGGCATTCAGTGTTATTTGCTACTTATGAACATGCAGAGTTGCGTGACATTCAAGGACAGTTGGGCAGCTGTTCTTGCTACCGCTATGAGATACTGTGCTGGTGGGTTTCACCACAGAGTGAAGGCTTACAAATACCATACCCAATTCTGTATATCCCTACTCATCCAAATAGCTATTTGAATTTGGGTGTTTTCCACAGTTTTTTATGAGACGAGTCATTCTGTGTGCGCGGCTGAATAAAGGAAGTTTCCATCAGATTTAAACAATCTACGGCCTTCCAAGGATGATTGTTGGTTCCTGGGAGTAGCCTACAAATACTTATTCCACTTAAGGTAGTTTAAACACACAGTGAAGATGGATGTAGCTAAAGTAGAATTTCAGCTACCTAGTAAATAGTTACTATTGCCATTTACCTAATAGGAAACATTTTCTGAACATTTTTTTAGTTGAGCGACATTTTGTTTCCCCAATTTTAACTTAGCTTTGAATCTAATTTTATAGGTTTATGGGAGACAAATGGTAAATATAAGAAGATTTTTCAGATGGGTGCACACTATCATCTAATACACTCGTTAGCAATAAATCAAGCATCAAATACAAAACACCCAATACTGGTAAGATCTTACTTTTAATGTGCACTTTATAATATCGGCGGTATACGAGAGACAATTATTGTTTTCTCTCACAAACTGCCGTTAAAACTTCAAAGTCGAACAGATGATGAGTCTCTATAATCAGTTGCTGTGCAATACTCACTTGGTTATATTTATAACTGTTGTGTAATCTTTTTAGCTTCGTGCTATGTTTACTGCTTCTTACTTATATCACCTACTCCTTCTGAGAGACAGAACCAGATTCCGATTAAGACAAAGGGAGAGAAGAGAGAGTGAGGAGCATTCTGAATTGATTCTATGGTAATAGAGAGACAAGTGACTTTTCTTGTGATATACACCTTACAACTTATTTTCTTTATTAAAACATGAACAAAAATGATTTCCATTCGGAGCCTGTCAAACATGTATATTGTGTCGTATTGTCAGGAATCAGTAAAGTTTTTTTAAGGTCATGATTAAGTGGCGCTGAACTATAGACACAGGTGAATTGAATGTAATGCGTCAATGAAGGCTACTACTCTAAGACGTCATATTCTGAAACGGCGTATAAACTAGAAAACAAGAATTTCAAAACGATATTGAAATGAATTCAAGGGAAGACATGAACAATGAAAAAGAAGTTACATTTACGGTAAATTTGATTCAGCTTCTTAAGGAAGGTGAAGAATTAACATACTTTTGTTTTTGTAAGGCCCCCTCATCTGTTTAGTTTCATATCTATTAAAAAAGTTAATGAAGTAAAGGGACCACTTTGATGAACTGTTACTGACTTCATGAATTGATTTCGAATCTCAATTTGGCGCTTTTTTATCCGAATAAGACATAACTCAACGGTAAGCTACTAACAGTAAGCTATCAGATATATAGCAAGTACTGGTGAATTATTTAATTGAATTTTAGATTTTCCCGTCGATGCAGGTACATCCAGATGACGAGTCCCAAATAGGACGAAATGCGCATCCTGGATTCCACTGCTAGTCACCATCCACCAATTAAAGTACTGGTAAATTTTAAAATTTCTGCGATATGCAGAAAGTCGAAGTAGAATGCATACCTTTAGTAGAAGGAGATAATACGTTGCCAAAGACAGTATTAATCTACAGTATATGTACATAGATAGACAATTTTCGATTCTATTAAATCAAAAAGAGCTCTGGATTGCTATAGATGATATTGACGCATGATGAAACTACGTAAGGAATAACAGCAGCGGAGGCATACTCCCAATAAAAGTTTGAAGATATAAGGTGTAGGATGCATTCTTCTTAAAAATGTGTTTTCATGTTGTTTCACGGAACATGACATCCATCAGTCTGTAAAGTTATTTTTGTTACTTCTCATACGTTGCACAGGGCCACATGTTGGAGTATAGCTGATATTAAGTGCATAACGTAGGTGCCATAACTAGTTTCTCTTTAACAGAACATAGCTTGTATTTATTAAAGTTTTCAGACTTTCCAATATTTGGTTTCAGTGGAGAGAAATGGTTAGGGTCTTTGTTGGCATAAAGTCTACCTAGAACGGTTGCCACAATTAAACGTTTTGTGGGACAGTTATCAGTTGTTATTTTTGAAAATCAAGGGATCCTCATTGGCTCAGTAGTCCAGTGGATAAATCTTTGGCATTTGAAACACTGTAGATGCTGATTTACGGTCTTATTAGGTATTCCAACACTTACCAAGATGCAGTTAGGTATACACAGCTGATTAATCTGAAATACGAATCGAGTCTATTCCAGAATCCACCCCAGACATGTAACTTTGTTGGAATGACATATCATTCTTTGACTACCTGAATATGGTTGTTATGTATATTGGGGTATGTGTCTGATCTATATTATCATGAAAAATGGATAAAAACTACGGTTTTCATTTCTCTCTGAAATCGGAAAATATCCAGGATAGACTAATGAAGAATTTGTCTTGTTTTCGATGCTTCTGATTCGCAATGAGGAAGAGCCCAAAAGAAGGAGCAAGAGTTGTGCAGTGCCCTTCAGTTTTCAATAGTTATGTGTCTGATGAAAGTTCGTGTATGAGTCCAAACTGATATCCTGTTTTCATGTCCTATAAATGACTGCAGAAATATTGACTAGTTTATTAAAATAAGATAAGTGAATCAATTGTTTCTAGCCAAAAAATATCTTAGATTCACTAAGCATAAGGTTAAGTGGACCTTGCGAATTCGTTATCATTTGTTATTCTTTCCTCTTTTTGATATCCTCTCTGATATTCAATAAAATCGACGTCGTTGAAGATATCAATATGGCTTTTTAACCAGTTATTAGTTTACAACTTGTCTTCACCTTGAGGTCATCAAGCAATAGTCACTAGCATATGTAACACTTATGAAGTATTACCCTATAAATCATATGAATTCAATCAGGTGAATCGGCAAGTGTGGGCGTTTGTATAGAAGAATGAAAAATTGTACATACCTTAGGATCTTCGATTATTCAGTAAACCTCTTTATATTTACTTCTCAATGGACTCATCGAGTTGTGCTTCATTTAAAAGTATTCAGTCACTTGTATTGTATAACTGAACAGTTATATGAATTAAAATGAGCTTCATTTTTTACAATATATCATTAAATAGTGAACTGCTGCTAATTTGGTGCCTGCTGCAAGTAGGCCTCTCAACTTGAAGCATTATTGACGGTGAGTAAATTTATTTCTTAAATTCATCACATCTGTTTTCCCCACCCCCACCTTGCTAACCAAACAAATCCTGAGTAACTTTGAAAATGATAAAAATCTTTTTGTTTATCGCCTTTTTTCATTACTTATCACCAGACAACAACACTACTGGTGATTGGTACAACTCTATTCTCTGGTTCGTGTTATTATGTAGCCATCAGTGGTAATGAATCTGCATCTAAATTTGCGCCAATCGGCGGCTTAACATTACTACTAGCTTGGATATCAATGATTTTATAAAGTAATAATAATGGTAGTGGTAATAGTAATAGTAATAACAGTAATCGTGTAAATGTCAAAACGAACAACAACAACAAAAACAACACCAACGATAGATTATTTTGATATTCTACTTATTCACATTGCTTTGATTCATTCATTCTTTTATTGTGTTGTGCAGCAGCTTTTATGACACTTTACTGTGCACTCTGTTTAAATATAGTTTTCATTTGCTTATTTTCCTTTCTGTAATTAGAGAACTTATTTATCTGTTATTATTAATAAATTAGTTGAGTGCATAACACCAGGTCCTTTTCAAATGATGCTTATTTTCAGGCAACGATACAAAACAAACATTATCCTGGAGTTAGTCACGATAGAAACACTTCATCTGGTGAGAAACAAGTTGTAGAAAAGACTTTGAATCACTGAAAATTCAGACTTTAATACCAGATTAAATGAAGACTCTACAATCGAGGCAAAATTGATGAATTATGTCTTAAAATCTCGGGAGTAAAATTGCACTGAACTTTTCTAGAATACAACGCTGTGTTAAAATGTTAAAACACAATAATGAATGAACTTGTGAATCTCAGATAGTTATCAGCCTGTATGGTTATTACACCTTCATAGGTACTGTTCATGAAGTGAACCAAAAGCCACAGATAAGTAGGAAAATTTCCACACCCTCATATACATAGGACAAGGTTACAGGTCTAAGATGAATAAGATTATAAGTCATGAAATGACATTTTAGAAAAAAGTGAATAATCAGAAAGTAGGAAAAAGAGCGGTTAATACAGTCAAATGTTAAGATGTTAAGCAACATACAGTTGTATGAAAATGGAATAGTTAAAGTTGTGAGCATAGCAGCAACATGAATAAGTATACATTAATAATATGTAAATCATAAGTAACTGAAAGTGTAAAAATTAACCACAGAATGAGAATGGACCAAAATGCAAATGTATTTACCAGTAATAACGAAAAAAGTTTCATCAGTGAAGTATGGAAAGAGAAAAGCAAACAGATTTTCAGAGCTACACCCCCCAAAAATGCAAACCTGATGTTGGTAAAAAACTGATTTTTAAAGACAGATTTCAAAAGGCTATAGACTTATTGAAATAAAAGAAAGTAGATGTTAGATATGGGTCCCGCTGCAATTTTTCTCAATGAACAGAGTGCTGATGAGACCTTATAAACAGTTGAATTTAAAACTAGCAATTTAGTGGTTATCAAATAATTTTCTTGGAACAAATATCCTTATGTTGGCATCGATATCTACTCCTTGGACTGGGAAGAATTTGATATGCAGAGTAAAGCGTACTGGGAAAATGATATATCTTGAGTGCACAAATTGAAAAAGGTTAACAGCCAAATTTAAAATCTTCAAATTGAAGTATTCGCTGAAGATGTCACCCAGTAGGGTGATGAAAGCTTCGCAAATTAACTATCCAGCTCAGAGAACACAACAACATCAAAATCATCCACCTGAGCTACAAATCTTCTCTATCATATCCAAATTTAAAATCGTCTCAGCGTTTGGGTGTTAACGTGCTCGTTTCCAAACGGGATCCTTCTGGATTCCATTTTGTATAATATTTATATATCCATCTGACACCAGATAACTTTAAATAATTTTTTATTTGTACTGTTGACGTTGTTATCAGTATCATATTGTGTTGTATTTTGCAAACTTTAATCTTAGTTTCACAGTTTATTATTATGTTGACTAATCGCTATGTGGTAACGACTATTTTCCCCTCTACCCCTACTAGTATCCATATTCTACTTATACATTCACGACTGCCTAGATTATATGAATAGTTGAATGAATTTATCTTTATTATTATCACTACCTTTATTATTATTATGCACTAACTCACATCCCTGTAGGTTGATTCTATTGATCTACACTGCTTCAGATGTCTGTGACCAGTATTCCATTACGTAACTGTAAAGCCTGACGAGAATTTTCCCGAAAAGATAATTTATGTTACCAGCAAAATTAGTCAATCAGGAAATTTGAGATAGTTTCAGTCTATACCAACTGAAGTCCGTTTCACAAAGTGTTGGTGTCGTAACTTAACAACGTAGAGGATAAATTTTTGGTGTCCATTTGGGGAAGTGCCGCAGGTGAGTTCCACTGGGAATACGATCAGTCAACGGAGGCAAGTAGATAAACTGAGCCAAAAGGTTCGAAATTTGACGAAACACTCTTATTAGATTCATTTGCTAGACAATATCAACTCAGTTATTTGTGATTGCAGCTTGATTCCAAACCGTATTTTCAGTACATGTATGGAATTTTCAGCATGGATATCCGTAGCCCAGATTTTGCAGGCCGACCATAGATATCGGGTGTGCGTCGGCAGGGGATCGAACCACGGACCATGTGCATGGTCGGCGAGAGTCCTAACCACTGTGCCACCAACGCACATTCAGTTATCTTAGTACATTGAACAAACATATTCATATATAATGCCACAGAAATATGTAAGTGGGAACCGATGAATTCTGACATGTCTGAGTGACTCTAATGATTTCATTACTATCTAAGGAATTTCTAGTCAATAAATGGCATTAATAATAGTGATATCAATGGCAATATGGTGTAAAAACGAAACTCTTGGGTTGGTTCACTTAATTTATACGTCTTCATATCAATGTCGATTAAATGATTAGATTTAACTAGGTAGTCATCACCTGTTGCGCTTCCAGTGATTTCAGCTAATTTAGGCCACTAAATAATAAATCCAGACAGATGGTTACAACTCTCATAAGAACTTTTTATAGAACAGAGAAGGACTGACTAAAAGTATACTAATGCTTAGTAAGCGATATTATTTATAAAATGTGGGATAAATGCAAGATTAACCAAGCTAATATTATTCTTTGTATTTCGTCTCAATAAATTTTAGGTCTGACCTTGACCAAGTTATAATATCACCATCCAGGAGTGCAAACACACCAGTAACCTTCAGTGCATACTGTTCGTTGGATAACGAGACCTACCGTTATTATGGCACTACTATGAAGCCTGTTAATGAACTGAGGTGTAAATTTCATCCCGATCTCGTTTTTAAGTACTTTTTGGACAACGTGTTGGCAGCTTGTTAGGGTTACGATTAGGATTGGGTTTGCGGTTGAGATTATTTATTTTTTTGTCCTCATTTTTCTAGTAAGCAGGTGTTGATCCTCTTACTGGAACGTATCATAATTCAGTCAAGGGTTTTCGGGAAAGAAAGAAAAACGGAGTAAGAGAGATAGATGGGCCATAAAAAGAACTCGTCCTCAGTCACCTCGATGAATATACACACAGAAACTGGTTTAACTTAAAAACTGATACTCCTCACTATAATGCATGTCCACGCATTTCTCTTGTAGATAAACGTCATTTTTATGCGAACACCACTCGATTTCCTGATTGGTCGGTTCAAGGTCACTCGTGCGTATGCATTCCAGAAGTGGTTATAGTTTGACTTTTCCCTGACCTCACTAGCCTTGTTCTACTCGCTACCTATACTACTATTAAAACAACTGTGAGGACTACTACAACTAATGGCAAAATTATTATGGGGCACTAAATATGATTTCTATTATAATACTATAGTACATGTACTTTTTCACGTTTTGGTGTGTGCTAATGCTGTATGCGACAAAATATCAGACAACATTGTATCAAGAGGCACAAATGAAAACTTGAAAAGATGTAGTGTTAACGAAATTTACTTTCCAAGAGCACGAGACAAATGTGTGTGAAACCGCGTAATATGCATGTATAGCATATATGTCCAAACCAAGTGCACTTTTAACATTTTGAGGAGATTTGGGCATTGGGTATATGATATTCATTATAATAAAGGTTTTATATTATAATGTATATATATAGCAAACGAAAACCAATGTTCAATTATACATTGGCGAATATTTGACAATCATAAGTATAATTAGTTTCTACAGACGTATAATATGGGCACATGAATTAGTTTTATAAGTGTACAGTTAGAGTTAATAACGGGGTGCTACACCCTCAGTAATATACTACTACCACTAATACTCACAATAATAATGGTTAGACTGAAAAGTTAAATTTCCTCAGCTTCAGCAGCACCACCATCTTTGCCGTCAGATCCGGGACGCCCACCAACGTGGAAGAAAGAAAGCCTCAGAAGTCTCCCTCTAAAATAGCTGTAGGTCACATCACCCCCACGTGGTTGGAGGCAGTTACATCAAATGAAACGGCAGGGCACGGTAGTACTTGGCAGCAGCCATGAAATTTGTGAATCTTTCTGTAATACACCGACTAACTGTAGTCATATTAAGATAATGTGAATCTTGTGTTTGTTAGTGAGAGAAAATCAAAATACCATATGAATATCGTGCATCTGAACTAATCTTAGGAAGCTGAACCCAGCTGAAACTTTTGTTGTGCACGATTCCTTTCCCGATCGAAGTAAGATAATCACCATAAGGCTGCTTGGATAAATTGAATAATATATTGCAGACATTGAACAACGATGCTCTACTTTCATATATATATTTTTGAGGATTTGAGGTCCTTCATCAAAGTTCGTATTACGAGTACATCTTGGCTAAATAAAATTAACATTTTTTGTGCGTTCACTGCGTCCGAATTTGCGGAGGAGAACACTGCCTTTTGCTGCACCGCCAAACTCTAAATAAATCTGCAACCCTTCCAAACTCAATCCAAAATAAGTTCTATAAATGACTTTATTAGAAAATAAATTTTTTCTGTATAGTATTGACTGGGTGACTAAAAAGACAATTTATTAGTAAGACATTCGATTAGTTTACTTTAAGATTCTACATACTTCTTCTGTTGTTTCTGTAACACTGACGGCACTTGTTCAGAAATGGAGGATTTATTACTCGTCACAGAATTGTTGTGACTGGATTTGAATTCGTTCTATTTTTTCTGCAACGCTCGAGAGCACACGATTAATCACGAGAGTGCTTTTCTATGCTAAGAAGACACAGTAGACTGACTGAGAAGATAG